TAGATGTTCACACATGCACAAGAATGACCCCTCTCAATAATCCCGCTTAGATGTTCACACATGCACAAGAATGACCCCCTCAATAATCCTGCTTAGATGTTCACACATGCACAAGAATGACCCCTCTCAATAATCCCGCTTAGATGTTCACACATGCACAAGAATGACCCCTCTCAATAATCCTGCTTAGATGTTCACACATGCACAAGAATGACCCCCTCAATAATCCCGCTTCAGATTTTTGACTGTCCCCGCCTGAAGTTCTCTGAGATTCCGCAGCGCCTCACAGCCCTGCTGCTGCCCCCTGACCCAATTGTCATCAACCATGTCATCAGGTGAGGTGGCCTAGCTTATTCCCACTGGGGAAAGTCTCCCTGCTTTCTCCACCCTCCTCCTGTACCCACCCCTGCCCTACCCCTGGGCGTCTATGGGGTGTACCATGGACATCATAGGCTGGACTTCTCTGGCAGCGTGGACCCATCAGACCAGAAGAAGACAGCATGCTATGACATTGATGTGGAGGTAGAGGAGCCACTGAAGGGGCAGATGAGCAGCTTTCTCCTGTCCACGGCCAACCAGCAGGAGATCAGCGCTCTGGACAGTAAGGTGCGGCCTGAGCCCAGAGCTAGGGTGGGACCTTAACCAAGAGAGAGGACAAAACACTCAGACCACAGCATGGACCTAGGACTGAGGAACACACAGCCCTTCCCTGCTGAGCTGACCTCCTTCTAAGTTCAGCTCTGCCCACCCCCTCCCCTCCCTGCTCAAAGGAAACCGGCTCTGGGGAATTGTGCTTCACAAGAGAAGCAGGTCCCCCACCCCCTTCTTCCTCTTGCATTCCTCGCCCACATCACAGGGTCAGGTGGAAATCATTGTCTTTCTACCTGCAGATCCACGAGACGATTGAGTCCATAAACCAGCTCAAGATCCAGAGGGACTTCATGCTAAGTTTCTCCAGAGACCCCAAAGGCTACGTCCAAGATCTGCTCCGCTCTCAGAGCCGAGACCTCAAGGTGAAGAGAGGGTTCCGGGAGCATTGGCACCAAGACAAGCACATGGGGAGGGAAAGGTGGACATGCAACTCAGGCAGGTGAGGTACTGGGGCACTCAGGAAGACCTCATGCTCACCCCAGGTGATGACAGATGTGGCCGGTAACCCTGAAGAGGAACGCCGGGCTGAGTTCTACCACCAGCCCTGGTCCCAGGAAGCAGTCAGCCGCTACTTCTACTGTAAGGTAATGGAGGCCCTTGAACAGGAGGCTTCCCTCTCCTCCAATCCTAGTGAATCCTTGCTTCTCGCCTTCCAATAGTCTTTGCTGCCACCTACGCTTAACACCTGTCCACCACCCTACTTCCCCATGCAGTAGTCTCCCCGACTCTTCCAGGGAAGGGGTGCCAGGAAGGGGTACTCCCTGGTCACTCACCAGGATCAATGTAACCCTGCCCCTGCTCACACTTCCTCTAAAGATCCAGCAGCGCAGGCAGGAGCTGGAGCAATCGCTGGTCGTGCGCAACACCTAGGAGCCCGTGAACAAGCATCACTGTAGACCAGCCAGCCACACTGTCCAGCATAGGCCCTGGATTCTGGGCCTCCCTCCCCTGTTGCTGTGGGGTTGGGGGTGGGGGAGTGGGGAGGACTGGATTAAAGGTCACTCATCAGACAGCAGCAGCCTTGTGATCATTGGGGACTGGGAAGGGAGGGAGGGAAAGAGAGGGAAAAGGCAATGGAATCCTGTAGACAAACTCTCCACAACCTTCCCACAGATTCTTCTTACCCCTCTCCCTAAAAACAGTTTGGCAGAAGATACTTTTAATAACATTTTCTTATTTTTAAAAAAATACAGCGACAAGCCCTCCATCTGTCCATCACCTTGCCTTGCCCTGGGGCTATGGCAGCCACAGGGGTGGGGAGCTAAGTGCTGTTGGCCTGCTCCTGTTCAAACAGAGCCATGGCAAGCTGGGTGCGGCCTCCCAGCCCCTCCAGATTGCTGAGGCGACAGCGGTGGTACAGTTCCTCACTGAGCCGGGGGCTACAGTCCCGCAGGGAGAACTTCTGCACCAGCCCTGGCTCTACGGCTCGAAAGAGGTGGAGCCCTGAGAACCGGAGGAAAACATCCATCACCTCCAGCCCCTCCAGGGCTTCCTCCTCTTCCTGGCCTGCCAGTTCACTAGCCAGCCGGGCACGGGCTGCCAGGTAGTCAGCGTTGTAGAAGCAGCCCTCTGCCGATGCCTGCCGGTCAAATCTGCCCCCAACGGGAGCCCCCCGAGAAGGGTCCACACCAGGGGATGGGGGATCGGGGCCAGCCCCAGGTCCCCCTGGGGGGGATCTCTGTGGTGACAGAACAGGGTTGAACTCTTGAAAATGGACTGGAAAGAAGGCCTGCCAGCCAGAGATGGCATTCATACGGCAGCGGTTGAGGACTTCCGACCCAGGTCTCGTCCACACCGTGGTAAGGAAGAAGAGTGTGTCCACTGGGTGTTTCTTGGAGATGACATCCATGAGTCGCACCTGGGAAGGGGCCTCTGCTCGCACAGCAAGCCAGGCCAACCTCGCCCCAGGGTACCGTCGTTCTAACTCAGCGGCTGCAGCCTTCACCCCAAGAAATGGGTCAGGGCCCCCGCGGCCTTCCCGGGGCCCATATACCAACAACAGGGTGAGCAATGCATGTTCTCGAGGCTCCAGAACACTGGCAGCAAAGGCCTCAAGAAAAGCCAGGGCGGCCGGAGCTTCAGCCACCAGGAGCGGCAGTACCAGCTGCACCCGGGTAGCCTCGGTGACATAGGGCATAGGCAGGATTTCCACCCTGCTCAGTGGCCGCAGCAGGCTGACTCTGCGGGCCAGTGAGCGTCGATGCCCTCGCTGAGTGACAGCTTCCAGAAGCAAGTCGAGGGTGTACTCCATGCCCCTCGCGGGGTCAAAGCGCCTGTAGCCATTGAGCAGTCGCTGCTTCTGAAAGCGCAGGCGCGGCTGATAGCGCCGATTGAGCTGCTCCAGAGCAGTGTCCACGGCATCGCCTACGTCTGCTCTGCTAGCCCCCTGCAGCGGGCATTTGGGAGCCCCATCTGTACAGGCGAAGGTGTGCTGCTCTGTGAAGTAGTCCCAGCCCAGCACCTCGAAGCGAGAGTGTGGAGTGAAAGGGGCTGGGAGCCCAACAGGCCAGCTCAGCCCTGCCTCTCCCTCAGGAGTCAGCACCGTCAGGTTCCGGATCTGAGCCTAGGTTGGAGGGAACGCACTCAACATTAGTGCTGGTTTTAAGATCCCACCCGACTCCAGATGCCCAGGCTCTGAGGTTCCAACAGCAGCCTCCTGGCTAAACACCTAGTCCCTCGCATGTAACAGAACTCATCTAAAGTGCAGAAAGGATGAGCAATACCCACTTCCACAGCTGCTGCCAGGGGGATCGTGTGCTCCACAGAGCAAGTGGGTCTCGGAACGCAAAGCTCAACACTTTCACTCCCATGGCCACAGGACTCACATCCTCTTCACGACCAGACCTTTGCTCCTACCTATACCCCAGCTCTGGAGACCCACACTACAGAATTCCCCTCTTTTCTAGAAGCTTGGGATTTTGTGGGTTGCTGTCTCAGAGGAGAGCAGTGCTGTAGAGGCATTTAAGAAAGCTCCTGGGAGTTTACCTACACATTTAGTGGCACCTGAGTCAGCCCAGGGCTTACCTTACAATGTCCTGGAGCCCAGGGTCCCTTGTCCCTCTGGTCGTTTTAAATTTAGGAAGTTAGTCTCTTTTTACCTACTAGCCCAGCCCCCAGCTCAGCTGCCTCCTCCCTAAGCATCCAGTCATTGCCCTCGGGCACAGCTCACTGCAACGGCTCACTGCATCAGCTCACTGCATCAGCTCACCTGCAGCTCACTGCATCAGCTCACCTGCAGCTCACTGCAATCTCACTGCATCAGCTCACCTGCAGCTCACTGCAATCTCACTGCATCAGCTCACCTGCAGCTCACTGCATCAACTCACTGCCATCTCACCTGCAGCTCACTGCATCAGCTCACTGCATCAGCTCACTGCATCAGCTCACCTGCATCAGCTCACCTGCAGCTCACTGCAACACACTGCACTGGCTGCCATCTCACCTGCATCTTACTGCATCAGCTCACCTGTAGCTCACTGCATCAGCTCACTGCAACACACTGCATCAGCTCACTGCAGCACACTGCATCAGCTCACCTGCAGTTGCTCTATTTCGTTGTAAGCTCGCTCCAACTCCAGGGCACTGAAGCGTTTGTGGAGGCGGTACATGAGGGTACCCTCGGAGACAGGGTGAACGGTGAAGGCGCTCAGGAACGCAGAGCTCCCCTCCTTCTCAGGGTCCCTATTCTTGGCCAGTTCGAAGGAGCGATACTGTTGCCCCTAGAGGGACCAATTAGACAATCAACGCTGCACACATAAGCTATTGCTCCCCAAAGCTCCCTCAGCCCTTCTTAGCATTCACACCATCCCTGCTGCTGCTTTAGGATGGACAGGAATGCAGTGGCTCCCCCACCTCCATTCCCACTTCCAATGCCTACATTTGGAAATGAGAAAGCAAACAGGCAACTAAGGACATCCTTCTCCCCCAAGAGCCCCATTACTCAATGAGGATACAGTCATAGAACCTCCCAGAAGGTCGGTATAGAAGATGGCCTGCCTCTGGGGCAGCAGAGGGACCTCTGGACTTTCCACTTTGGGGGGTGGCCAACTCTACAACATTTTCACACTGTCCTTAACTGTGATGTGCACTGAATGTGAAATGGGGTGGTGGTGGTGGGGTAATTTCTGGCTTTAGCGGTCCCTAAGGATACGTGCATTTGATGGCCCAGCGCCGTAAGGACAGCAAGGGAGAACTGAAGGGGCAGGCTGGCGTGTGGGAGGGACAAAAGGATGGTCTCAAGAATTCAGTTTGGACAGTCATCATTCAGTCACTGCCAATCATTGGGGGACTGGGATTGCCTTGAAGGGGCTGTCACCTGGTGCTGTGAGACACAGCCGATGCCCAGAGTGTCGATGAGGCAGCGGCCAAGCCATTCATCAGGCCGAGCACTGAGAATGTCCCCTCGGCAGCCATCTAGATGTGGCCGCAAGCGCAATAGGAGACTCCGTGACAGCAAGTAGCCAAAGCCCCCATGGCAGTACCGGGCCTGCTCGCCTGCACCAATGAATTCCTCTGCACGGCCCAAGTACAGGTCCTGGTTGATGCTAAGGTGGCCAGCAAGAGCTGCCAATCGGGGGGCCTGCACGTAAGTGTCATCCTGCATGATGAAGAACCAGTCATAGTCAGCCCCAAAGTGTGTGTGAAGGTAGCGCAGGGTCTCTGACATGAGCCAGGCAGGCCGCTCATCTCCATGAGACACCACCTGCATCCCTGCAGGAGCCCGGGCCCCTCGCTGCCCTGTGAAGTAGAGTAATCGAGGGAAGTGATGTGCCGCTGTACGGTTAACAGCGACGGCCAGGGTGGACAGTGTGGCGCGAGAAGTCAGGACAGCTACCAGCAAGCGCTCACGAGAGCCCAGCTCTGTCTGAATATAGCGAGTCCTGTGGAGAGATCAGAAGATAAGGGGTCAACTCCTGAGTCACTAAGGGAGCATTCACCAGCTGGCCCAGCACATACATCCCTAGGAATGAAAGGGCTGGGATTAGAAAGGGGAGAGTACCCCTTCCTCATCACTACTAACTAGCTCCCCGTGTGAGTGCCCACTGTGTAGGAGATGCTACACTAGGGGTAGGTGAGGCAGCGTCTGCTCAGGTCTATTCAGTGGGTCAGTGCAGGTACAGTTCTGTTCCGGAACAGTGGACACTAATACCAATGGGTGAGACTCTCAGCCTTGGGGAGGAGAAAATAGGAACAAAACAAGATAGGAAACAAGTGCTTCTAGAAAAGTAACTCTGAGTCGCAAGGCAAAGCCAGCAGCAGGCGGCTCGAGAATGAGGATCAGTGCTGGGGACTGTGCACCCATCACCCTCACCTGAGCACCTTCTTGTACGGCTTGTTAGGATCCCTGTAGTAGGGGACAATCCTGGGTTTGAAGTCTTCATCACTTTGGTCCAGTCCAGTTTTTGAGTCTGGATTCTGTGGCCCTCCTGGCTTCCCCACAGCCTCTACACAGGGATCTTCTCCCTCACCCTGGATCCAGGAAACCCGCAGAAGGCTCAGGCTGCATCCCAGAGACAGCCCCAGGATGAGGGGGAGTGCTGGTCGCAGCAGAGCCAACAGTGAGCTCAGTCTCATGGTGGCAGGCCCTGACATAGAGTGCCCCAGGGCACAGTCTCAAGGAACAGTAGGTTGATGGGCACCAGACCAGCAGTAGCCCCACAGTTTTAACCAGGGAACCTGAGGCCAATGAGGTCAGCGATAGAGAAAGGAACAAAGTGTGCTGGCTTCCAGGTCCAGCATCTCACAAAGACTTGCCAACTCCCTATGCCTAGTCTTCAGTGGCCATGGTGCTGATCTACCCCTCAACAAAATACTAACGTCTATGTGAACAATGCCACTCACTACCAGGACTGCAGCCTGTAGTCCAGTAGAAGGAGGAAAAAGAGTGCAACGCTGCCAAACCTAACCCAGAAGGGGTTACACTCATCTGAAGCATGGCCTGATCTGAAAGTCAGCAGCACCTGATCAGCAGGGGTTAGGGAAAAGTGCATGCAGCATCCAAACGACAGTCCAACCAAAGGGCCCCACCTCAGCCACCCTGCTCTGTCCTGTAGGGATCATGGCCCACCATGTCTGTTCAGGCGCAAGGAGGGCTCCGGACCTACTGCTGCAGGCTAGCACTAGAGAAGGGGTCCAAGTCTCCTTCCACCCTGCTCCCGGATGTCACAGAAACCCATAGGTTCTAGTAACCCCCTCCTTGTCACAGAAGACCACTAGCCATGCAAGGTGAACACCTATGTGCCCACCCAAAGGAGGTGGACAGCCACAGTGACTCAGCACAGCTGGCCTCTCAGAAGAGCGCAATGGCTGACGGAGCCATCTTGCAGACCATCCCACTCAGCTGTCCACCTTCCTGAGAGCAGCAAGAGACAAATTATAGGCACTCTTGATGTAGTTAGAGGTTACCAAATAAAGCAACCCCGGAGACAGCAGCAGTTAAGAGAAACGCTGGGGTCTGGGAAGGCCAACAGAGGCTCACCACCTTCCTTCCAACAGGACCTCCGCCTGCACCAGCCAGTGCCCTACTAGGTCCCTTGGCAACCACAGCCCCGTGCCAACCCTCGGAAGAAGCCCCAAAGCGAATCAAAGGTCGTCTGAAGTCAGAAACGAATCGCCTACGTCCCCAGACTGCAGAGGAGGCCCGGCGTCCAGCTGGTTTGCTCTGCGAGCCTCGGCGGCGGAAAGCAGGATCAAGCAGGTGCTCAGTCCGATAAGGCCGACAGGGACACCCGACCCCCACGGCAGGCCAGGGCGAAGATGGGGCCGCCTCGCGAGTGACGAGACCAAGAGCCCACCCCGTTGCGGGCCGAGGAGCTCAGCTCAGCAGCCGCTGCCACCTCACAGCCCAGCCTTTCCAGGGCTTCCTCTTCCGCTGCCTGTCAGTCACCCGTCTCTATGGTGACCACATCCGGCCCCTCGCTCCCGCCTCGCGCTCTCTATGGTTGCGGCTGCACGACTCTAATCAGAGGTTGTGGTTCTTAAAACCAAGGCGAGTGAACCCGACTGGACCAGAGATGATCCCTCACTTCAGCTTAACCCAGTTAGCTCTAAAGAAAAATGACTTGGGCTAGCCTAAAACTCTCTGTAGCTCTAAGGCAGTGAGAATTGCTGTAGACAGGCCGTAGACACTAACACAATGTGGTAAGTCTCAAAGCTGGCAAGTACGGAATTAAAAATCAGTCAGATAAACTCACCATTTGAAGGTGCTTGCCATCAAGACCTGAGTTCCATGCCTGGTGAAAGGAGAAAACTGAATCTATCAAGTTGTCCTCTGACATCCACACGATTTTGCCCTCTTGTGCACGTGCACACACACACACACACCAAAACAGGAAGAATTAAATTAGATTGGGATGTGGACGTGCTGAGATCCCAAGTTTCAGCAAGATTTATCCAGACATAAAGCAGAGTTTTCCAGGCAAAGGAGGGAGCAGCAGGAAGGGCCTAAGAGGGAGGAGATTGACTAAGACCAGGACAGCTAGAGCCAACTGCAGACCAGCCCAACATTAGCTAGCAGGAAAAAATGGCAGCGGGCTCCCAAGAAGGACAGTGCCACACCTAGAGGGCAACTTAGAAATACACAGGGACAATGTTGTTGCCAGATGATACCGGAGTATGCGTGCATGTGTGATGTTTTGTACATCATAAGAAGGTGCCTCATATGAAAGCTGTCCTGGCCGGGCGGTGGTGGCGCACACCTTCAATCCCAGCACTCGGGGGGCAGAGGCAGGCAGATCTCTGACTTTGAGGCCAGCTGGTCTATAAAGTGAGTTCCAAGACAGCCAGGGCTGTTACACAGAGAAACTCTATCCTGAACCCCACCCCACCCCAAAGAGAACCAATTCTGCAGAATTTGTAGTATACAGTGTTCTTTCTGCACATCAGAAGAGGACACCAGATCTCATTATAGATGGTTGAGAGCTACCATGTGGTTGCTGGGACTTGAACTCAGGACCTCTGGAAGAGTAGTCAGTGCTCTTAACCTCTGAGCCATCACTCTAGCCCTGCATCTGCTAAATTCTTTAAAATTTATTTTTGTTTTATGTGCAAGGTTGTTGTTGGGCTTTTGTTTTTTTCTGCATGTGTCTGTACCACATGTCCAGGAATAGAGGAGACCAGAAGAGGACATCACATCATTTAGAACTGGAGTTATAGATGCTGCATACAGCCAAGTGGGTGCTGGGAGCAGAACCTGGGTCCTCTGGAAGAGCAGCAAGTACTCTTAACCACAGAACCATCTCTCCAGTCCTGTGCTAAATTCTTAAGAAACAACTCACATGGATGGAAATATACTAAGTTACCATTCTGGGAGCTTTATCACTTCTAGAGAGGCACATCAGTGTTCAGAATGCGCCTGTGTTGTCATGTTCCCCATATTCTCTCTCCATTTTTGAGCATAGTGAAATATCTTATTACACAATGTTTTCTTTTACTTCTTTTTCTTTTATGGTCAAGAAACTATAATTTTATAGTTTTATTTTGACACCAAGTCTAACCTTATGACATGACCTTGAACTCATAGAGAT